AACAGGGGACGTAGAGGTCGTGAGCTCGATTGTGAATCATCACAATGATGGTTTGAGTGAATGGCTTTGGAGTCACACTAAAGGTGGCGTCGACGAATAGAGTAATACCAGGATATTTTATCAGTCGAATTAGATCTGGATGCTCAAACCTAACGATTCGCCTATACTTTCCCTCCATTGGGTAAGCAAGGTTGATCTGGAGAAATTCTCTCTCGTCATAATCAGATTTCCGTCGGACTTGCTCCGTCTCGATCGCTCGAAAGGCATCACCACCGGTTGCCGCGTCTCGGCATCTCCTGATAACTCCAATCGCTTCTCGCTTGGGGAGGAACCGAAGGCCAGACCGTTCACCGTATTTGCGGATCATCTCGTCCTTGACATCACGCCAAATGCGTCCTAGGAGAACTCGCAACTCACCAAGTCTTCGTAGTTCAAGGTGTAGACGCATCTCTTCTTGCACAACTCGTGCTATCACGTCGTCACCGGTGATGCATACATGATCTCCCTTGATGTGCACAGTACCGTCATCCTGACAGACCAGTCGAACCTTGCACTTTGTAGTCCGGCTTTTTCGGCACGCGTAGTACTTCGTCGTCTTGTAGTAGTAGTAGTAGAAGTAGTAGTAGTAGTAGTAGTGATCACCGTGCTGCATTGTTGGTTGTTGAATTGTAAGCGCCGATCGTGTGATATGCTTGAAATACAATAATGAAAAGACTCTATGCTAACGTGACGCAGTGTGGATAGTGAAGAGCAGTATAAGTTATGGGAGGTAGTTGAGATAAGATATACCCACCGAAGGAATTCAAATAAATCACAACAAAGCGCGCTTCTTGCAGGTAAGTCAATATGATGCTAGCCTCCATCGCCTCTCAAAATCTCTAAAATCCAAAATATACATTCGATTTTTAAAAACTCGCATCTTCACTGTCCATTTTAACGATAAAGGGGCACGAATTAGCGCCTCGGAGTTATCGAAATCGACACGCAGCAGTTGTTTACGCTTATGGACCAATTAAAAATGTGAAGTTTAAGTTCTTCTGAGGCAACTTTTTCAAACGCCCATTGCTAAGCAACCGCTGAATAAAAACAAAATCAGGCAAGGGCTTAATAGAGAGTGGGGATACCCCCGCTTTATGACGGCGCGCGTAATAGCCATTTCATTAAATGATTAACTAGCACAGTTTTGTGTTGCGCGGCCTCATTTGAAATCATTCACATTTATCTTAATCAAGTGTTTTTCTTAAATACTCTATAAGTACAGGTACTCATTTTAAACTGTGAAATGGAAGGCACTATAACTTGAAAGTAAGGATCTGAATTTGCAGTACTGTGAAAGTGTAAAAGGGTGAAAAATGCGACCTTTTATAATCAAATGACTTAGTCTGTATAGTATACTTTAGACAAGAAGCTCGCGAAAGCGTTAAGAAATATCTTTTATTGTTACAACAATATTGAAATACAGAGTTTTTCTTTAAAAAAAAAGCGATACGTTTTGTTATTTTCTTTAAAAAAAAGTTCGTTTGGTTGTTACTGTAGCAGCTTAGTATAAAATCTTAAAGCCCCCACTTTTTAACCCTTTCGCGGTCAATGGGGGCAAAGTGCCCGCTTTGAGTGGTTTATCAAAAGAGGGTAGGAAAACTACCACCAAAAGCGGGCATTTTGCATCATTTGAGATTTCTATACACCTACTTTTGTAACTACCAATCATATCGCTTGTCAGTTTTTGCTGAAGGGACAGCTCGGCGATTTACCCAAGGAATTATGCTTCAAGTAGCAAATTAACATCGTCCCTGTACCGAGCTGTGTCGCAGATTCGATAACTACTGGCTCCAGATTGTCGGTAAAATGTATAGTAAAATGAAGTAAATCTGATCAGTCGG